TGACGTTGGGACATGTCCCCACAGGGGCAGTGCTAGGGGGTCCAGCCAGACGGGGCCACGTGGAAAGTCAAGCGAAGCCTCTCTGGGCTCCTGGGTGAGAGGCTGGATCCTATAGGCCTGCCGCTGGGCGGGGCCCCGGGAGCCTGGGGTCTGGGAACGGGGTTTCTGAGCCCTTGTTCCTGGGAAGCCGTCTGCTTTCTTTCCTTTTCTTTCTTTTTTTTGTTTTGTTGCTGGTTCCACACCCTCACACATGCTGGTGTTCTCTGTTGATTTCCATTGTTCCCTCTCGGCTTTGGGCCTGAGCCTCGGGAAGTGGAAGCCCAAGTCCTGCGAGGCTGTCTCATTCGGCACAGCCCTGGGTCTCGTGGGTCTTGGTCCGGGGAGGCCGCGCTCAGCACTGGGTGCTAGAGACGGTTTTGACAGGCCACCATTTTTTAGTTGTTGTTTTAATGGTAGTTTTATTCTCTGATCATAAAAGTAGCCCTGTCCGCTGAAGAAAATCCTGAAAAGAAAGACAAGTGTAGCCCTGGCCGGTTTGGCTCAGTGGATCGGGGTCAGCCCTCAGACGGAAGGCCCGGGGTTTGAGTCCGGTCCAGGGCACGTACCTCGGTTGCAGGCTCCATCCCAGCCCTGGTCAGGGTGCGAATGGGAAGCAGCCAATCGATGTCTCTCTCACATCAATGTCTGTCTCTCCCCTCCCTGCCACTCCCTCTAAAAATCAATGGAAAAGTATCCTCAAGTGAGGATTAATCAAAAAAAAAAAAAAAAAAAAGAAGAGAGAAAGAGAAGTGTAAAGGCCCCGGGGAAAGGGGATGTCCCCCACACACGCCCCCTCCCGGAAAGTACCTCCTTAGCATTTGTGGGTGTTTCCTGCCGCTGTCTTTCGGTTCCTGGATTGCTAACACGGGTAACTGGTTCTGGCGCTGCCTCCCTGGTATCCCCAGTTCACAGCACAGCAGGTGTCCCCGTGTGCTGTTCTGCGTGAGTGTTCTTAGCGACGCAGCCTTTTCTGTCGCGTAGCAGATACTTCGAGCACCGTGGTGGAGGCCTGCGAGCTCGCTGGCGTTTGCCATTACACACGACAAGCCTCTTTGGGCAGCTCGCCCCGTCTGCATGCGAGCCCCTTCCTGGAAGAGGGTTTGGTGCCCATTGGGGTGGCCTTTTGTGGTAGCCCCGGGCTGGCTGGAGCCTCAGCCTGGCCCTCGCCCACCCAGGGTTCACTCTTGCTTGCCTTTCTGTGCCCCTCAGGCTGCTCAGCAGGCTAAGGTCCGCTTTGCAAACCCAGCTGTGGAGTCTCACATCCCTGGGATCAAAGCGCGCTCCCCTGCACATCGGGGGCGAAACCTGGGAGCTCGCTGAGGTCATTTATGGGAAGAGCTGGGCGCGCAGTAGGGCTGAGCAGCGGTGGCTGTCCGGGGGCAGGGCCCTTGCAGTCCTGCTCTGTCACTGTCTCTTTGCCTGACCAGCGGCCACGGCCTGGGAGGACGCCAGGGTGACTGCAGGGTGGGGCTGCAGCCCGCACTTCTATTTTCGGCTCCCGCAGCGCTGGGCAAACAGTGGGACCTTGAACGGATCGTGTCAGCCTCGCTGGAGGAGAGTAAACTGTCAGATGATGCGTTGGCCAAACCTGAAATTCTAGGACCAGGAAATGACCCAGGAAAAAGGTCTCCTTGCCGGGGCCTTTCTAAGGTTTCTAAATGCGGCTTTATTACACACGGCAGGTAATCATAGGAGGCCTCAGCGCGGAGAGCACGTGGCCTGCTGGGTGCACTGCGGAGCTATCATCTTTCTGCTGACCAGGCCATCGGGACCCTGGCAGCGGCAGGCCTCTCCCCTCCGCTGGGCGGCGGGAGGCAGCCCTGGAGGGCTCAGCCTCAAGCTGGTGGCCTTCTACTACCTACCCAGGGGGGTGGCAGGGCAGCACCCAGGGGCATGTGAGGAACATCAGGGAAATCATGGAGCAGAGGAGACCTTTAGAGCACCCAGTCCAGGGGTCACACAGGGTAACACCAATGGATACAGAGGTCTGGGTAAGGCAGTAGGGAGTGGTGGGGCCTGGGGCTAACTGGAACACTGACTAGATTCTGAACAAAGGAGATGACTCCGGGAATTGTCTCGGTGGGGAATGCGAGCCCAGGGTTCCTGGACCTTCCCTTCCTTTACGAAGCGAAGCCAGAGGCCAGATCTTTGTGTGAGGTTTTTCTGCGTTTGAAAAGTGACAGCTAATTGGAAGTCCCGTCCACTGCTGTATGCCGCAGACGAAACATCCCGCGAGGCAACAGTTTATCCTGATTTAGTGCAGCTCTGGCCAGATTAGGAAACTGAGGCTTGGGATTTGGGGACTTGACAAAAGTCGCCAGGGAGGTCATGGCCCCGAGGGACAGAGCAGCCACACAGCTTGTAATGGCAGAGGCCAGGGTCAGGCTGGGGCGTTGGGACCCTCTCTATGGGGCTGTCCAGCCGCTGTGCTGCCAGACGTGACCCTGGGATGGCTCCACTGAAAGCCGGACCGGGAGCTTGGCGCAGGCCAGACGGTGACGCGCTGCCAGTCTGCGGCCCACGGCTCGCACACGGCGGGCAGGAAACTACCGCTGGCCAGGGAGGTCCGGGTGTGCATTTGCTGAGCTAACGCTTTCAGCCCTGATGGTTGCCTGGCAGCCTGGATGCAGGGATCGACTCTGCCATCTACTTGCTGTGTGACGTTGGACAGATGACTGCACCTCTCTGGGCTCACCTGCCCAGGGAGTGACACCGAGGGCACCTAATACAAGGCTGTTGGGGAGGTTGGACTGGCTTGAGCCACATAAAGTGTTTATGCTCCTATCATAGTTAGTATGTGTTCGCTTTTGTATGTGAAGGGCCCAGCACGTAGTAGGTGGTCAGTGAGGGCAGTCACCCTGTGATTAGTGACCAGAACAAGTCCGCTATGTTCATCTTGCCGCTTTCACAAGGACCACACACTTCACACAGATCCACCTCCCCACGCTCTGGCAAGAATGCCCCGAACCCAGGCAACCTTGCTTTTCTGTTCTTGGTCAGCCTTGGCTCGATGAGAATTTCCCAAACGTGTTTGTCCCTCTTTTAAAAGCCCCAAGATGAGGATTCACTGCCAACATGTGCAGATACATCAAAGGGACTTCGGGTGCTGGCTGACGGTGCTGGCGTCTAAAGAGGGGACGGACCAGGGCTTCCTTCCCGGGCCCTCTGCGGCGGCTGCAGCGGCAGCTCCCCTGTCTACCTCCTCACATCCTGTTTAAAAAGGCCCCCGATTGTTTGCGGGAACCACCCAGTGTGAGGACTCAGGAAGAAAACTGGAGGGCGGTCCCCTCGGAGTCCTACTCCGTCCCCGGTCCTTCCTGATAATGATGGATTTTGTCCTGTGTCCTCTTGCTGCTCTCAGCTCTGGTGGCCACCTCTGGGCTGAGGGCCGCTGAGCCTGTCACATGACACCATCGGTAATGAGAAGACCAGACACTGTGCCCAGAACGTGCCATGTTTTCGAGCCACCTTTTTAAAAAATATATTTTTATTGATTTCAGAGAGGGAGGGAGAGGGAGAGAGGGAGAGAAACATCAATGATGAGAGAGAATCATTGATCAGCTGTCTCCTGCACGCCCCACACCGGGGATCGAGCCTACAGCACAGGCTCGTGCCCTGAACCAGAATCGAACCTGGGACCCTTCAGCCCACAGGCTGGTGCTCTATCCGCTGAGCCACACCGGCCGGGGTGGGAGCCACCTTCCTACCCACTCTCAGGGTCATGAGTGTCCCCACTCTCTGGAGGAGGAGACGGAGGCTCCAGGCGCTTTCAGCATCCGTTTCACGATGCCCAGCAAGGACGTGTCAGGACTGCAGCTGCCAGGACAGCCGGGCGCCCTCCGGAAGCCCACCTGTAGTGGCAGGTGCTCCCCACGCCTCCCGCAGCCCAGGTTGCATGGATGTGAGAGGCACTGTGGGCCGCGATGTCATTGCTTGTCCGTGGCTGATGGCACCTCCACCTGGAAGCCCAGAGAAGCATTTGGAAGGTGGAGCTGTGTCCAGAAGGCCACCGACGCGTTTCTCCGCGAGGCTTACCCTCTGACACTGAAAGGGGGTGTCGGCCGGGGCGCTCCCGTGCGCACAGGGGTGCAGCGGCTTCCCCAGGGACAGAGCCAGCCCAGAGGACATGACTAGAAAGGGACCCTGAGAGCAGCCTCTCAACTTTGCTCATTGGTTGGGTGACAAGCCACTGTCCTCCCGGGGTGACACGATCGGCCTTACTTCCCTCGCTGACCTCATCCCGTCACGTGATCCCTGTGACTCGGCAGCGTTCAGGCTCACAGGGCCCTGCCCCGCCTGCGGGCTGAGTGCCGGCTCCTGCCACCTGTGATTTCGCACCCACTTTCCCCTGATTCCCCTGCCCACGCTCTGGTCCCTCTGGCCCCGCGCTGTCCTTGCCTGGCTGGCTCACTCACTGCCTCCCGCCACCCGCTGTGTGCGGAATGCCGCTGCTCTGCTTCATTGGATGTGTGAGCTTCCAGAACTTGGACTTGATCACCCGTGTGTCACCAGCATCCCCATCGGGGCCCGTCAGCTTCTGGGCCCCCGTGAGCCTTTGCTGAAGGACCGGTGGCTTCCGGTTGCTCCTGCTAAAGCCCCAAGAGGCTGGTGGAAGGGCCTCTCTGATCTCAAACAAGTTCTCTGAGCACCTCCCGCCCCTGCACAGGCCTCTGCTGGGGGGGGGGGGGGGAATGGCTCCGCCCTGACACATGGTCCCCTGGGACCTGAACCTCGCTTCCTCCTCTGTCCGGCGGGAAGCTGAGCTGCCTCGGGGTGAGCCCATGCCAGGGCGGGAGGGTCTCCGCACTAGAGCGCACCCCTCCGACCTACCTAGGCAGGAAGTGGTCCCCGAGAGCTCGCGCTGCAGAGCTTTCATTGACGGTGTGCGGCTCGAACCCGAGGCTCGGGTCCCCTGACTCCCACCCGATGCGGGTGCCGCTGTCTCCTCCCGGCGGCGGAGGATGGGGCTGTCGCCTCAGAGAGCCCTGACGTTGCCCTGGGAGTCTGGGCTGAGCGCGCTTCGGGCTCTCGGGTGAGACCTGCACGCCCTCTCCCTGCGGTGCAGCTGAGCTTTTTTTTCCTTCTGTTTTTCAGATGAAGAAACTGAGGCTCAGAGAGGTTAAGGAGCTCCCCCGAGGTCACACAGCTGGTAAGTGGCGGAGCTGGGATTTGAACCCAGCTCTCTTTGGCTCCAGAACCAATTGCCTTGCTTTGTCTGCTGGGAACTGTGTTGAAATGACCATTCCCCTTTCCCCCACGTGGGGGGCCCCTTGACATGGCGTTTGTGGGGTGTCGTCTCCCCAGCACCGGTCGCAGTGGCTCCCAGACTAGGAAATCCTGTCTAAGCCACAGGGTCGGGCAGTGTTCAGGGAATGGGGTGCTCACCGGGTCACTGGAAAGTCCCGGCTAACCCAGGGGCCCCCTTGGCTGTGTTCAAAGTCACCACCTCGGACCGGACCGCGGGGGAAAGGCGCTCTGCCCCCATGACAGTGTGCAGGCTGCAGCCACAGGCTGTTTCGAGGAGGGTGATTCTTTGTGGTTGAGAAAGTGAGGCCCCTGGCTTCGTGGTAGGAAGGGGAGCAGGGCAGGCGGTGGAGGCAGGGTGCAGCGTGGGGCCCCCCATCTTCCGGTTAGGCGCCCACATGTCTGACGGTATTCTGTCCCTGCCGCTCACGCCCCCTCGCCCGTCACCAGGGGTGCCCGAGTCCCCATCTCGAAACCCACTCTTCTCCTGGAAAGTTTCTTAGAAGCTGTTTCTGAGAAATCTTAGTGGAGGAACCGCCCCCCTAGGTGAAGGGCTGCAGATTAACGGCCTGTTGGTCTCTGAAGTCTTCAGGGGCACCTCGTGGAGTGGGGGCTGGGAGTGGGTGTGGTGTGTGAAGGGCTCTGGTTTCCAAACCACCCTGGGGGTGAGGAGGAAGCCCCACAGCGGGGCTTGGGGTTTCACCCCCGCCTCACCCAGAAAGCTCGGCTCAGCGCTGGCTTCTCCCTGAGCGTGAGACCCACTTTCCAGAGCATGTGAAACCCACTGTTAACGGCAGCTGCTCCCCAGAAACGTGTGGACCGCGCCAGCCCCTGCCCCTCCCCGGGCCTCGGTTTGCCCATCTGTACAGTGGGCTGCGGAGCAGGTACAGTTGCGGCTCCACAGCCCCTTCCAGCCGGGAGGCAGTGAGCCTTTGATGATGCTCATGCAGATCGTGTAGCTGACCAGGCAGAGCCCTTGCAGCAGAGAGGTGGGAAGGGGGTGGGTGACAATTGAGAAAAACAACCCCGTCCGCCCTTGGGTGTCCTGGTCAGGACCAACCCCGAGCCTCCCGCACACCCGGGTTCAAGAACGAGCTGACAGGCCATTTTACCATCCCAGGGAGGTCTCTCCGGGCTCCGGGCTGTCTGGGAACCAGACTGGGAGGGCCCGGTGCCCCCTCCTGCACTGGGTGCCCCACATCCTGCCCAGCCACGGGGGAGCCAGCGGCAGGGCGCACACGTGCTCACCGCCTTCTGGGTGGCTGCGCAGAGGCACGGTGTGGTTTGCAGTATTTTTAGTTTGTTGTTTTTGCAGAAGCCAAGGGAAGTGTGTAACAGGCTGAGCTCCGTGCTGCCCTCCTCGAGGACGGCCGAGCTGCTCAGCCTCCGCGGGGGGCAACGGGGCTCAGCCGGGAGGGGCCCCCTCCCAGCACAGGCTCCAGAGGGCAGAGGGGGCCGGGCGGCCCTGGGCAGGGCTGGTGTGAAGATTGTTATTGAAATCGTCCGATTTTCCACACGAGGACCCTGAGGCCCGGCACGGACCGAGGCCCCCACCTTCCACTGTGCACAACCCAGCGTGAACCTCCGCTCCTGTGTTGGGAGCACTTGTCGCTGCCTCTGCCCACAGGGACGGAGTGGGTAGTGTAGGCTCACAGTTGCTCGTGTGGGAGACAATGGAATAATAATAATAATAATAATAATAATAATAATAATAATGCAAGAGTAACTCGGTTTTGCTTACTCACAGCTGTAAACCTACTGTTCCCGCCGTCTGTCTGTGTCGGTTCGGTGCCTGTCTGGCCCCCAGGCTGGGCGTGCTGGGGGGTGGAGGGATGTGCTTTGGGAGTTGAGATCCCCAGGTTCTAGTCTTGGTGCCACCAGAGACTCGTTTGCCACCTTGGGCGGGTCACCTCTCCTCCCTGAGCCTCGGTTTCCCCAAGGGGCAAAGGCAGCAGGAGAGCGTGGCCCCCCAAGTCCCTCCGTGATGCTGAAACGCCCGGCCCTTTGCCTCCCAGCCGCCCTGCCTCTCTCACCTCTCCCTGATCTGGGACCTGTGGCTGCCCGGCCAGGAACCTGTCTGGGCCCAGAAGGCGTCATTAAGTCTTTCATTAACTGAACCCCATTCGGCCTGGGAAAAAATAATAACCGGAGAGCAGGTCTGCCTGGTTCCCGGGCGGGCGAGCGCCTGGAAGTTTGCCATGGGGAACGCTCACAGAGCTCCTTCCCCCTGGACTCAGCCCGCCTGCCTGCCTCCTCCCCAGGAAACAAGGCGGCCGCCCGGTGGTCGACCAGCAAGCCCCTCTTCCCTCAGCCCCACTGGGCCTATCTGTGTGCCCAGGAAGCAGCCCCCGGGCGGGGCCAGGCCGAGGGCACAGTGCCAGGGATGCCGAACTGAATAAGACACAGTCCGTACCCTCCACGGTCGGGCTCACCCCGGCCGCATTCTCCACTTGGCCGAAATCCAGAGAGTTCTTGCTGTGCTCACTCTCCAGCCATAAAAATGCAAATGTCAAGACACTTTCACCTCTCTCTGTTTTCTGTTTTCCCCAGTGCCTGCCCCAGATTCACTGGTTTAATATGTTCTATGTTTACTAACCAAAGCTAATATCCCTGTTAAAATCAAATCAGATTTCCTTCTGGCCCAGTTCGCGGAACACATCGGAGTCTCCTGTGAATTCGGGGGAAGTGGGGGGCGGGGGGAGAACAGGGAAGTTCCTGGGGAAGGTGGCACGTGGGACGTGAGGTTCACCAGCTGGGACAGAGAGGTCACTCGATCGGCAAGGACCTTGTCTTGATAGTAACATCCGTCAACATGTGGGAAACAGGACAGAAAAGATGTTCCAACCGGGATTCACTTTTTTCTCACTTAAGTTCGCCTGTTAGTGTTTCACGGCGTTGGCAGAAGACATGAGACGCCTGGGTCACAGACCAGGGATCTGATCCCTCACGGCACAGCCGGCGGCATGAGCTTCAGGTTTGTGTCGGCTTCCTCTTTGCCCCGGAGTCCTCGGGGCCCAGCCACGGCGCCCAGACAGATGCCGGCACATGTGATGGGTTGCAACATAGACCAGGGACACTGAGCTGGGGGAATCCATCGTGTGCAGCGAGCCGAAAGCAAGCGTTTCCCTCATGTTTCATGACTTCTTGCTGCAAACACAGCCCTAAACAGTGAAGACCAGTCGGGGCCTTGGATTCTTAGCTCACTGAGAGTGCGAAGGGCTGGGAGACCCTCGGAGGAGCAGCTCCGACACTCGGTCGGTCGGCACTGAAGGAGTCTGGATTTGAATCCCGGGCCTAACACCTACTCACTGTAAGGTGAGGCAGATTACGGCATCTGGACTTCTCTTAGCCTCCGTTTGCTCATCTGTAAAGTGGGACGATACCTCCCTTTCCGGTGATTATTAGAGAATATGGAAGGTCACTCTGCCAGCAGCCCAGCGGAAACAGGAGACCGTCTCTGAGCTCAGGGAGCCGCGTTGCACGGAGAATCTTTTCGGCTGCGCATGAATATATGTGGGAAAACGAAGCAGGGGAAGTGCAGGGAGGGGTTGCTCATTGTGAATCGGGTACAAAAGGTTCAGGGGAAGTCTCTCCTCCGAGGCGAGGCCCGGCGACCTGGCATCCTGAGTTAAGTAAAGAACGTCGCACTATCTGTGTGCAAAGCATTCTGAGTGAAGCTGGAAGCCTGTGCCCAGGTCCCGTGGTTGTCATGCGTGAGGCCGGTGTCGCTGGAGCAGAGAAAGCAAAGGCATAGAAAATGGAGTCAGACAGGAGGCAGGACCAGCTCTTGCAGGCTCCTGCAGACCGTGGCCAGGACCTTGGATTTCAATCCAGGCGTGGAGAAAACCCGCTGGAGATTTGAGCAGGCGAGGGCAGAGCAGAGAACAGTGTGGAGAGGGCACAGGAAGGGAGAGGTGGTGGGCTCCGGCCAGGGCTCCTGCTGTGGGACCAGCTCAGACTGAGACTGAGAGGTGGACACTTCCCCTGAAGAGCTGGGGCTCCTTGGGCTTCACTCCTTACAAAGCGTACGGCCCTGGGCCTCCACGCTCCCATCTGTAAAATGGGCATATTGGTCGATTCCGTGAGTTCACGGGACTAACGCCCTTAGACATGCTCTGAGAGCTATCCTCGGGGCCGAGTACACGGGGACGGCCACTCTCATGGGTTAGTACAGAGGGGGAGCCGGCCCTCACCAGGCCAGAGCTCTCACGGTGGCCTGCGTTCGCTGGCGCTCCTCGGCACGTGTACTTGTGTTTCTGTTTGTACACAAGGGCCATGCGTGGTGCGGTGTGGTCAGGTCGCTTGCCCAAGATCGCACAGCTCCTCAGCGCTGGAACTGCAGCCCCCTCCCCCATCCTCTTCCCAGTTCACACCTGGACCTGCGTCAGCTGCCTCCATCCACTGCTGACCCATGGTGACCCTGAGCAGGTCCTTGCGCCTGCCCGACCCTCTGTCCTGTAAGCACTAGGTGCTGAGCCCCTGTACCTGCTAATGACACGAGGTGGGAGGCGGCTGGGGTGGGGTTCTCAATGGTCTATTTTTGTCATGGTTTCTGCACCCCCACATCGGGGCCATCCCCTTTTTCCCCCTGGGGCAGCTGTCAGCCTGGGCGCTCCAGCACGGGCCTCCCTAAATTCCTGACCACATTTCACGCTTCAAGTGCTGCCTGGATGTCTGCATGCAGCGCCCTCAGGCCACACACATGAGGAGATTGGCGGATTTAAATTCCTTTTGTGCGACTCAGAACCTGAGGACGTCTCCAGCTCCTGTCACAGGACCCTGATCCCCGTTAATCGTGTTTCCTCGGGGCGCTCCTCCAAACCGCCTGCCCTGAGCCTCATTGTGTTGTTGGAACCTTTATTTTCCCTCCAGCTCCTCGCACAGGAGCCAGCGAGAGGGGCCAGG